ACAGAAACCCTAAATATATTAAAACCTGATTTTTTTAAGAAGATACCTTAATATCTTTTTCAACCACATTATAAAAGCAGTTTACATTTTTGCTTTAGACTAACCTACCTACAGCAAAGCATATGGACTGATCAAGTAAGCTACAGGTAGATTAACATAAATAAAAAGAAAGAGCAAGAAAAACAATTACTTTGAAAAGAAATATGCCTCAGTGGACGATTCAAGCCCCACCTCCAACCTGGCAATATAAAACAAAATGTAAAGAAATATACCTGGCTGGTTAAAAAGTTTAAGTAATCATGACGAATATCTTATAATTTAACTTATTTTTCCTACTAGATGACAATGTCCTCTAACCCAATTTAACACTGCAACAATTCAATTGAAAAAGAAAGGGGGTGTCTTTCTGTGCCTTTTCCAGGACAGTTAATATCCAAAATCTTCTCATTATAAGACAGTTTCATCTACAACCAAGTCCCACAGCCCAGGCAAGGTCACCACAGAGTTCCAGCATACTGTGACGTCCCACAGTCTCATTTTCTATATACTCTAAGTACAAAGGTCCCAAAAGATTAGTTTCACTTTTCCCTAGATATATTTAGTATGTTAACTAGCATAGCTGGGATATTATTTTTCTTTGGTTTTGTCAGCAGCGTGTTTGATATAAATTTTATTAAGTGGCAGTATATGTAACACTGCATTGTGGGTAGTAGCTTCCTGCTTTAGCCTAGCCACATCCTCAGCTGTCACATGAGCATGTTTCCCATATTTTCTGCAAGTTCTCGCCTATTTTCTTGTTAGAAAGATGACAGCATTAGAAGATGAATTGTTCTAATAATTAAAAAAAAACATGAATTATTTATACAGCTATATTAAACAAGTATGGATCACTCTGCATTTCGAAGAATAGCCAAAGGGAAAAAAGAAAGCAATCCTTATAATTAAAGTATTAATGTTATGTGAAGTTAGTGTTAAAGTAAAAACATAGAGGAAGGAATTAAAAACTGTTAAAAGAAAATCTCTGTAATCAGATGCCAAGACCATCTAACAAATGAGGTGTACTATATCAGGATATAGGAATGATTTGCCTTGAATGTTAGGAGCTTCAAACCTGCCAGGTATTCATTATGAGGATTAATGTCAATATTCCCTACTAGAACCTTAAGAATCTACTTTGAGACTCTATAGAAATGTCAAAACAGAGAAAGAGAAACCAAAAAAGGCTGGAGGAGAAAGGGAGGAAGGGAGGGAGGAAGAGAGACGAGGAGAGAGAGGGAGAGTATTTTCTCTTTCGGAATCCAATTTCTACGTAATCTCACATTTAGACAGATAGCTGTTAGTACTAACCAAACGAAGTTGTTCAAACAATCATGGACATGGTGGTGCTTTGGGTTTTTATATAATTTAATTAAAACAAACTGAGAAGAAAAAAAAAAATACTCTCATTACAAAAAAGTACCACAAAATAATACCCTGTACACACATACACAACCGCACACATGTGCATGCAGCTGTGTACATGGACATATACCTCATTAAAATAAGGAAGTGGTTTTAATCTCTAATAATCATCACAATTTAAAACATTAATAAAACTATACATATTCTACTAATATAAAAAATTTTCAAATCATCAATATAAGGACCAATAAATGCTATGTAAGCTTAAACAGCTATTCATCAAATCCAAAAAGAAACTGTTGAAAAAATAAATTGTGACATACCAAGTAGAAACAATAAATGAAAAAGTTCCTTGCTAAAACCTCATAATCAGTGAGAACATTTTCAGCCAAATCAGGATTTCCATAATTTATAAAATTCCTATATCAAACCATTTGCTCCTACTGTTTTCAATTAAAGGAAAAATAGAAGTTTAAAACAAGACCAAAAAAACACATAGAAATGAGAACAATATTGATATTGATAAAATAAAACTACTGTATTAAAACAGGATAATTAGTTCAGAAAATAAAAAATAATTCAAAAAGTAACAATGAAGATATATGCAGCATTTAAAACACTATTATACTGTTATATCGCATAACAGTATACAATATAAAAAGTTCGACCAAAGTTGACAAATTTAGTAAATATCAAGTAATGGAGAAGCAAGATAACTAACTACTTTTTAAAACTGATTTCAAGTTCAAAGCTATATTTCATTTCTGCGGCATTAAAGGTAATTTATACGGCTGACCTAAACTTGTTAGTTATTTCCACTTAGCAAATACTAACATCCCCAAAAAGGATGAAGTTTTGAGGGTCTTTGAAAAACAAAAAAAACCCTGTGCTTTCCATTTCTGATTTTAAACATACTATGAATCCATAATCAAGAGCTTTATTTGCAGTGACTGTTCTGAGTCAGTCTCTCTTCCTCATGTGTAATAACCTATTTCTAATAAAACAAACTGTCAGTTATCAAACGTGTACCAGTTATTACTGTTGTTTTCAAATTTTTATCACAAAGTAATATTTGCTCCAAAGAGGATATATTTCTAATTTAGAAAACAAAAATATATGTGGATAACAAATATACAAACTTTAAAGCACATGACTTCACTATCTTTCTCCTGCCAGAATTTGATGGGCCTAACACAGAACAGAAAGGCCATATTCAACAATATCTATTAAACTCTTATGCAATAAGAGTGATCATCCTGACCCAAAATTATGTGCAGGAGGGTCACCTGCAAGAAGAGAACAAGCAGTTAAGAGACACACAGACGTTAAAAATTATTCAAATACATATTAAGTCAATTTGGAGGGCCAAAGTACGCTTAATAAAAAAATTTTAAGGGAGAAAATATTTAGCAAAAAGTTGTAAGATGGGGTTGCAAGATGTCAGAGAATTCTCATACAGAAACTAAAAACTCATTCTAAAAGCAGAAAGGCATTTACTTACCATACTACAGCAGATACCTAAGTTCTTTCCATTGCCTGGTTCTGCTATTGTATGTGCATACGGAACCATGTTTGGAAATTCCACAAATTATATAGACAAAGCCCTCCTTTAACTTACTGTAGATATTAATTAGAGATGTAGATCATATTGGTATACCTTATTTATGAGAGAGAATAAATGAACAACTTTTCTTCTTTTGCATGAATAATTGCACGTTAAATGAAAGCTCTTACTTTTCAATGTAAAACCTGTTTACACACACAATGAGGCATGATAAATCTATATCTAAAATAAAACACTAAAATGTATTTCTGGTTTTTTATCACTAAAAGTTTGTTACGGAGAAGCTCTGGACATTGGAATAATAAAGGATTAAAGTCATTCCCATGTCCTCCCAGTGCATTTTGAGCAAAGCAACTTTTTGTAAGGTAACTCATGAACATATTTGTACATTTATCTTTATCTAATATAAACCAAAAATAGATAATGAACTGTTCCAGGAAGACCATATGCAGAGGTATTTTGGCTCTAACACCCTCTTGAGTGTTTCCCCAGCCCTTACCCCATTATACACCCCAAATAATGTTTTGTAATTCCCTGTCTCCGCCCACCCTCCCAGTCATTTACTTCACGCCACTCCTAGTTACGATCACACTAGGAAGAAGTCTAACATGCAAATTCAGAGTGGCGTGGATAAATGGCAAAAAATGCCTAGAAAATCGGTCTGTTCGACTTTGTAATTTTTGTTGAAAAATACCTCCTTGCTCCCAACTGATGAAAACAGGAAGCTCTATTCATAAATATAAAATTCTCTGCCTATGATATATAATCATCCTAATAAGAAAATGAGTTCTATACATACATGTCCAAAGGGGCAAAAAAGGAGATAGTTTCCCAAAGATGTTTCCAATTTTCTTCTGAATCAGAATTAGCAAATCGAGACGACTAACATACTCTGTCTGTGTGCATTATTCCTTGCTACACGCAGCATTTTGTAATTTATTTCAAAGCCTCCATTATAAACAAAAAATACAGCTTCTGTTAACCCACTCCATTCTGAGCTTATAAAACCTTGTATTGAACAATCTAAGTTACAATATAAGAATTTTACTTTATATATGTATAAGATTTGCTATCAAAGGTTCTGTTCAAGTTAATATCCAAATAAACTAAAGACTTACACAAAATAAATACATTTCCTTGAAAAATAAAATTACAAGCATCAAGAAAACTAAGGTTCATCCAATAAACTATGTTACAACTCAACATTCATTTTTATAAGATCCTCAAACTGGTCATGAGGTAACAGTATGCATAATATAAAAGATACTAATTACATTTAATCTTTATTGTAGGAGTCAGCATCTAATATTGATTACACATAAACTAGACAGACATGATTTAATATTTGTAAAGGAATCCCCAGACTAACACTTTCATGACAGCCAATTACAGTCAAGCCCAGCAAGCAGTTTGCAACCAGACCTGAAGAAAGGTAAACCTTTTTACAATGAGTTACAGATTCACAAGTTTAAGAAGACAAGAAAAAGAAAAGCAGAAGGACTCCAATCACCCAGCAAATATGAAGCAGACCCCAGAATGTGATACAATCCAAGGATGTAAATTATTGTAAATCATCACTGTTGTTCAGAATTTCACATAGCCTCTTGAGCCAATTTTGCTCACTTTTCCACAGACACAATAATGAACTAAACAAGAGAAGGCAAAAAAAAAAAAAAAGTGGGAGTGGGAGGACAGAAAGGAAAGCCCTTAACTGCAGAGTTCTGCTCTACAAATGCTTAACCTTACAGGAGTTTGGGCTCCTTCAGCATTTGTATTCTATCCAAATCCTCATGAGTCACAAAAATTAAAAAGCTATATCCTTCTGGATGCCAGGAAGGGCCTTACCACAAGCCTTTTGTCAGAGAGAGAGAGAGAGAGAAAGAGAGAGAGCGCAAGAGCAAGGGGGGAAAAGCCACAGTGGTAGGCAGTCCCACTTTACTTTGAGTACTGTGAGGTCACAAACCACATGATTCTGTCTCTCCAGTAATAGTGCTTGCAAAAAAAAGGAGTTTTAAAGCTTTTGCTTTTTTGGATTGTGTGAATGCTTCATTCGCCTCACAAACAACCACAGAACCACAAGTGCGGTGCAAACTTTCTCCAGGAGGACAGCAAGAAGTCTCTGGTTTTTAAATGGTTAATCTCCGCAGGTCACTACCAGCCACCGAGACCAACAGAGTCAGTGAGTGCTCTCTAACCACAGTCTATGCAGTAATAGTAGGTCCTTCAAATATTTGCTCATTCTCTTTTTGTTTTGTTTCCTTGCTTTTCACATGTTACCAGCTACATAATTTCTTGACAGAAAAAAATAAATATAAAGTCTATGTACTCCAGGCATACTGTAAAACTAAAACAAGGTTTGGGTATGGTTTGTATTTTCAGTTTAAGGCTGCAAGCAGAATTTACAAGAGAGGGTACAAGTTCTATCTGAAAAAAAAAGGAGGGACTATGGCATCAAACAGCCTCTTCAGCACAGTGACACCATGTCAGCAAAACTTCTTTTGGGGTAAGTGTTACCATATTTTAAAATCCTTAAGAGATGAACCTGTTGAACATAAAGGTATGTTTCTTCGATAAACTGCTAGCTTTTCTGGATAACATTATACTAAAGATCATAATAATAATGCTATTTTGTCGAACTAAAAGTTGAAAAATGCAATTGCTGTACATATTTGCATTTGGCATCTGTACCTTATTTACTTCTCAGAGTAATGACTTGAAATGAAAAAATTAAGTTATCTCATATTAGTCAAAATGTTTTCTAAAATTATAGAAATGAGATAATTAAAATAGTAAAGGAAAGTTTAATATTCAGATTAACCCTCACTGAAATAAAATAAGACACTAAATTAATCGAAGTATTATGAAGTATTCACTCTGGCAGCTCCCAATATTTGAGCAAACTTCAAAAAGAAAGCAATTTTACAAAATAACACACCACAGAATTATCTCGCATTATGCTCTACTATGTAAAACAGAGAAATAAACCTGCAGTACAGTTAACATTTTAACAAGCTCAACTAAAAGAAATCTATTTATAATTTTAAACTGCACCATAAGATATCTGGATAAGTTTCTTTCTAAACAACTTTATATAACTGGTGCATATTTACAACTGAAATAAAATTATGATAAGTATGTAACAGCCATTTTTAAAAATCTTTATAGTTGCCCAGGATATCCAGGATATTAAAAAGTTCACAGAAGTCTTTGAAAACTTACATGTAATTGTATTTTTCTATATAATTCTAATTTTACATCTATACACTATCATCCATATGTAGAACTTGTTATAAACACATAGCCATCGAAACGTCTAGGATTCTTTTAATCATATTCTTGGACCTACCAAAATGAATACCATTTAGCCTCATGAAAAATAAAACTCCGTAGGATACCCTGCATGATTTAAAAGAGCCATACCTATTAAAACATGCTGGACTTTAAAAGAAAACAGGCATAATATAGTCCCCTAATATTTAATTTCAAGTTAGTGTTGATACACAAAAGTAAACTACTTCAACATTCATCAGCTGACATGGTATTATAGTAAAATATCTAAACACTTACAAGATTTTCTTTATGATGTCCAACATGTTCCAACCACAAGGCAAGTTTATAAAATTATCTTTTATCCTTTAAAATAAATCCTTTTGCTGTGTATACCCATATTAACTTTGCTTTATAACTTACAACTAACGATTGGAGTTTCCTTTACTCCTCCTACTCCACACATTTTAACTGGCTACCAGAGGATCAATCTTAGTTTAGGTCAAAGAGAAATAATTAAACCTGAAGGAGAAAAGAAGTTTTCTCTTAAAAGGGTGAGGAAATGTACTTTGTATTTTACTGAAAACAAAATGTAAAATTGCTGCAGTGACCCCCTCAATATCTGTAAGTGGACCCCCTTAGTTATAACACACACAATATAATAATCACAGATTATTTTTTAAAAATTTAATGGTACATAATAAGCGTTACTCTAAAAATTGCTGTGTTAAGGAAGCAGAACATATATACAACTAGACTGCATTACAACCCATATTATAATTATAGCTTATACACGGGAACTTTTGCTGTTCCCACCCAAGAAATGAGAAAAAAAATGGTTAAAACTATTGTTATATGGAGAGATAACTTGAAACAGACATCTCAAGCAGTTAAGTTACTCTTTCACAATATTACTCTATTTTTTCAAAGATTCATTTTTCTAACCAGATCAGAAACAATACAAGTTTCAAGGACTACTTCAGCACTAGCAATAAAGTTATTAATATTGTCACAAAAAATATGTTAAAATGCTCTTTATTCTATCATATGACGGGTCTTATATTTCTGTGATATCCTTACTATTTCTACAGTAAAATTTCCAAAACTTAACCAGGTTTCTAAACAAGACATAATAGTGAACTAAATGGATCAAGATCATCTGCTATGGCATGTCATAGATTTTCAGACATCATAACTAATTCTTCCTCTTCTGAAAAGTGAAATTTACCCTCTCCCATCCCCAAATAGTACTTTAGAGCCTGGATAGAGAATTTAAGATGAACCCACCGCACTGAACTAATTACAGGTGGGTAGTGGACGTTATGTATAGGTTATCATCACATCGCAAACATTTCCCCATTCTAAATAAAGTCAAAAACCTCACTTCAGGCTTCAAATTCTTATATAATGATTATCAAAACAACCTAATGAAATGTCATAAGTATGTGTTTCAATTTTGTAAAATAGTTTTTAAAAAGTTTAGGCTTTTCCTAGGTGAGGGACAAAGCACACACTGACCAATTACCTCACCTCAAATATAATGAGTGAAATGTGTGTGTGTGTGTGTGTGTGTGTGTGTGTGTGTGTGTATGAAAGAGGGAGGGAGGGAGGGAGAGGGGGAGAGGGAGAGAAGGAGAGGGAGGGAGAGGGAGGGAGAGGGAGAGAGAGGGAGAGAGAGGGAGAGGGAGAGAGAGGGAGAGAGAGGGAAAGGGGAAGTGTTTCAGTGTCCTTGTTCTCTCAGCATACCATTTATCTTGAATTAAACAAGAATTTTCACACTGCACTACTCAAAATCTGTTATTCATCATAAATAAAGATTTGAAAATGATAGATGTGACTCATGGAGTATCTTACAATTAAGAACCTATTTACGAAAATATATCAGCTGACTGATTAAATTTCTACATAAAACCTCTGTAATGACCACAGTGACTGACTGAACATGATAAGTGAACACTTATTTCCAAAATAATAGTTGTGGTCCATATCAATAATAATTTTATAGTTTCAAGATTTAATAGTGACAAAGTGTTGTAACTTGCTTCTAAAATAAGAGAGCTAAATTCTAAAATCCAGGGAGACAATTTAAAAATTCAAGAACCTATACAGAAGATCACTGCAACATGTATTAAAAGCTAAAAATGTCAATGCAATTCCCAAAGACTCGTTATTGTAAATTATTTTAAATTATAATAAAATAACCCTAATTTTACATGAAAAATTGTTAAAGATTCCACTTTTACATTTTAAAAATATTCTAAAATGTAAAAGATTTAAAAGAAATCGCAGAAAAATATTTTCTTAGTTTGTATAAACCTCCTTATAGTCTCTAAATCAAAAGGAAGGCATGAAATACACACGATTACATTATGATATATTTCAGTTATTTTAAAAGAACAAAAATTAATCTATTCAATTACACCCTTCGAACTAATCACTGATAGTTGGACTTGTTTAAATCAGTCACGCTAAAGTTAAATTCAGTAAGATAGAAATGTTCCAGTTTGTTAAAAGAACGCTGAAATATTTGATGGTTAAATAAACTGCAGAGGGGGGAAAAGCTAACTCATTGAAGGCACTAAGATTTTATCAAACACACAGAATTAATCTTTATTGAATAGAACCATTCACAAATCAAAACTCACTGTACTTCAAAACTTTCAAGCAGCGCTAATCAATTACAAACCTTTTCTAGTGCTTCAAAACTCATGTGCTTTCAATTTTATACACTGGTGGTCCTCAAGTACTGTATTGGGGCTGAGTTAAGACATTCTGTATCACAACTTTTTTTTCAACAAATATTCATCTAAAGGGCTTTTTTTTTCCTCTCAAGAGCTGCTCACATGAAAACTGTGGTAATATTTTTATACTGTACTTCTTTGTTGAAGCAAAAGGTTAGGGGTTACCTAAATACCTCAACTGTATACACAAAAAAGGGAAAAGGTAAGTATTCATATAAAAAAATCCAATGGGACTCGATTATTTATTTTTGCATTTCCTATGATTAATGATACACTCGTGCATATTTGAAAACTGATGGCAAAACAGGGTAACATCTCAGATTCCTCTCCAAAGCACACAAATACCAACCTTCCATGCTCTTCTAACTCTTGTTCCAGGATACTAAAATGTGACAATTCTAAGTCAATAGTGAGGTCATGCAAAAGCTCCTCAAAAGCATTAAGACTGTAAATGCTATTATCTAACAAAAATCTTCAGGGATATTTTTACATTAAAGGTTCACATGGAACAGTCTAACTCTACAGTCTCTTTAAAAATACTACACATATGGTCAAATAGATAAATACCTTCAATATGAAAAAATCCTTCCTGCAAATAAAATTGTAAATGTGACAAAGCATTAACTATTTTTTCTAGTCGTTTACCATGCAAAACTTATTATTAAACGGGTGCTAGCAAAACCAATGCTAATTTAGGCAGAGGCTTCCCACCAGGTTACCTTAATGCACTGTTTTTTTCTCCTATACCAATGAATTCCACTGAAGATAAAATTCTGCCCAAAAAAATAAAAAACCTGTCTTTAAACTCCTATAATAAGGATAACAATAAATGCCAATACTTAGTATTTTCTAAAGAGTAAAATATTCTAAGGTGTCTAAAGTATATGGAAATTCTTCATGAAACCTGAAATGTTTAATATTTTAAAACAAATCTTTAGAAAAGGAAGTCTCGCATAATGAAAATATACACCTTAATACAATCTATTGACATTTCAAAGATTATGGAATTCAGTGGATATGTATTTCGATTAATGTGTTACAATTCAAAAAATAATGGGGAAATTCTATACCTTATTCAAAGGGAGTTTCCTTACAATGTTAACCACAGTTGACCATAAGCTTTTGTCCATTCAACAGCAAACACACACAAAACAGGCCATACATTCCCACATAACATTTTAAAGACCGGTATAGCAGTTGAGATTAAATGCTCTTTTATTACATTGTATACAATATCTTCGGCATATGTTGAATTCTTAGGTATTTCCTTCCCTTTAAACTATTTATTAAGAACACAGGATTCAAGGTTTGGAACAGTGTTGGGTGGATGTAAGCAACACCAATCAAGTATTTCAGGTGTTTACTATTATTGTTGAAGAGGATGTTAACTCTAAAGCATATTTTTTCATAAATATGCTTTCTTCCATTAATAAATAAAAACCTCATCATTTACCATGATATATAAAACAATTCCCAAACAAGATAAGCTGTAGAA